ACGTCATCGTCGTCCTCGTCATCTCCTACATCGACAACAACAACAACGACAACGACACCGAGATACACGCCCGTCATCGCGTCTATCTCCGGTGCGCGCCCTGCACCGCAGCTCGCTAATGGAGAACGCCCCGCTCGTTTGGAAGCGCATTCCAGGGCGCTGGGGGTGGGGGGCGCTGGGGGTGCAGGGTGCTGGGGGTGGGGGTCCAGGGCGCTGGGGGTGGGGGGCGCTGGGGGTGGGGGTCCAGGGCGCTGGGGGTGGGGGTCCAGGGCGCTGGGGGTGGGGGTGCTGGAGGTGGGGGTCCAGGGCGTTGGGGGTGCTGGATGCTGGGGGTGCTGGGGGTTGGGGTCCAGGGCGCTGGGGGTGCAGGGTGCTGGGGGTGGGGGGTGCTGGGGGTGGGGGTGCTGGGGGTGGGGGTCCAGGGTGCTGGGGGTGGGGGTCCAGGGCGCTGGGGGTGCTGGGGGTTTTTGTGTGGAGCACTTGGAATGCCTCTCGGTGTAAACTCATCTACGGAGATGTTTGTTGTTGTTGTTTGTTGTTTTTGTTGTTAGTTTGTTCATTTGGCTGCTCTCCTGGAACGCCTCTCAGCCTGCCCATTAACTTGTAAGAAACACGCGTTATTATTATTATTGTTGTTGTTATTAGCGCGAACAATCCTCGCCCTCGCTGGCTCCCGTCCAAGAACGTCGAGTGCGTCCCACTCAAGCGGCGTGGGGAGGGCGGGGAGAGGGACCCGGGGAGTCAACGGCGAGCAGGCCGGCAGAGCGCGAATCATTCACCAACACAAGCCATCACGTTCCCTCTCCGCTCGCTCCTTGGGAGATGTACCCCGCGATGACCATCGCCTGCCCCACCCCCGTGCCTGTGCCATAACCTCAGCCGAGTCGCGACCCCGAGCGGGGTCATGCGGACTATGGCCTGGCCGTGCCGCATTCCACGCACGGAAGCCTCGATCGCTGCCACCGGCTTAGCCCTCAAAATCCCGGTGTGACTCGGCTTATCCGCTCCCAAACGCCGCCGAATCGGCGCGGGGCCACCCTGACCACCAGCCAACCAGGGCCACGCCCGGGCCGCCCTGCCCACTGGCCCAATGGGGCCACTCTGAAATGAAACACGAGGTTCTGAGAGACGCGAGTTGCAGAGTTTTACGGTGGTTAGTTCCCTACCTCGCCATGTAGTTATCGACCAACACGTCATCAGGAATGCGCCCGATCTCGTCAGATATTGTCAGCTAAGATGGGTTGAGTCTGGGATGTTCTGTGATCAGAGACTGCCTGGAAACATCAGATGATGTTTGGCTGCATCAATGAATGTTTAATACGTGCGAAGCTTTTGAGTTTTACTGATTTGGGTTTTCTCTGGGTCCTCTTGTTTAGTCCCACGTGAAGCAAAACAGCTATTCAACATAATCTACCAACTGTCCTAAGGTAAGGTCCCTCCGAAAAAAAATAAGTCGTGACTCAATGAAGCTGCCTTGAGCAAAAAAAAACATTTTAGAATAATAACACCATGCAGGTAGGGGGGACGCAGAGACGCATCTGTTGATAAGCGCCTTGAGTATTCGAATATTCAAATGATTACGATATGTTTATTCAAATACATACAGAGCAACACAAACACGTGCTCAGTTTTTAGAATACACACGCGTAAACACCCCAAAAAATGGTCAGACACGGCGTGCACACGGTGTGTACAATTTGTGTAACAATTGCGTCCATGGGTTGGTGAGCGCTGAAGCACCGAGCGCCGCTTGGTGATGAACCCTGTCGGCAATAACGACGGTTACCATGGAGAACAGGGACACTCACCATCCACACACAAAACGCCAGATGCCTCGCCAAGGTCCATTCATCCGAGCCGGGGTGGGGGCGTCTCGCTGCCGATCTTCCCATCTCCAATCTCCTTGTACCTTTACGCCTCCCTCTCCTTCCACCTGTGTCCCCTATCTCTCTATGCATGGGGAGAAGCGGTCCAGGTTCAATTCCAACCCATGATCCCGCCATCATCCTCAGCATCGTCCCCATCATCACCACGATCATCATCACCATCACCACCTGTGGCTCCATGTCCTGGAGCGCGCTGAGACCCGATCCAGGTTCCCTCCCATTGTCACGAAAATACCTTTGCGCGGGGAAAGACAACACATTCCTGCGGAGGGAGCTGGTAGGAACGTTGGGTTGCTCGGTCAATGGCCAGGGTCAACGGCGGCGTGGTATATTCCGCAAATATGCCCGACTGTGAGGGCGGGCACAATCCGGCGTGAGTAGGTTAAACGTTGAGTTTTATAAGGGCACTACGGGGTGACCAACCCCTCCCCACCCATCCCCACCCCACCCTCCACTCCCTCCCCACCCAGCCCCTCCCCACCCAGCCCCTACCTGCACGACGGACGGACGGACACAACAATCCCCTGTGGACTGGTGGAACCAGTGGGTTCCTACCAGTATTAACATCCCCATGACTAACCAATGAATCCATCAGCTGTGTCGGCGAATTGTAAAGGAGACGGGACGCGCTGCCACATCGCCCGTTATGTGGCCACATTCCCCGTTATCCGACCCACATACCTCCTCCCCTCGGCGCGCGTCACCTGGCCGCCTGGCTGAGGGCATGAAGGGGCCTCTTTGTCCGCGGTGTCCGGTTTCGCCTCGCGGTTATATCATTTATTTACTGTATTCGCCACTCGATGGCAGTTGCGAGCTCTGGGGCCTCTCGAGAGTGGAGCTGCGAGGTGGGGGTGGGGAGCGGTGGCTCGGTGAGGCGCACCGAGGGACACTCACCACGGGCCCGTGTCATCGGTGGACTTCGCCGTCGCCCCGTGCGAGTGTGCGAGTCTCGTGTCCCCCAGGGCGAGTCTCGTGTCCCCCCAGGGCGAGTCTGCGCCTCCGTCGTGGATGTTCACAGCGTTGGCGTCACGTTGCTGCTGTGAATGTCCGAATGGCGGGGGGCCACTTTGTTGAGCTATCATTTGTGGCCAGGTCGCTTCTGAAAATTAAGTTAACACCTCAGTGGGCTTTGCCTGGTACAGGATGGGGATGGTTTAGTTTAATTTGTATGTGTTTGGGTGATTTGTTTCCCTTTCTTGTACTTTGCATGACTGTCGTGTTTTTGTGCTGTTTGTTGTTGTGACGTTCTTACCCTGTGCCCCGATTGGACATCTGTGAAAAAGATCTTTATAGCTCATCGGATTCCTCCAGTAGAAATACACATTCTGATTCTGCTGGGGCACGGGTCCTGCCAAAACGTTCCACCGACCCCACAATTCGAATCCATCTTACAGTGATCCCTTCACTTCGGACACCTACAGCAGCCTCCGCGTCTCCCTGCGCGCGCGTCTCTCAGCATCCCCAGGGTTTATCCGCCACACTCGTGGATCCTTCACGAATCACCCACAGTCGGCATTGACCGCGAGGCTGCTTGAGAGCGCGTCCCGGAGATGCGCGCTCTTAGGGCACCCTCAGCCAAGGTGGGGGGGGGGGCAGTGAACGGCACCACCACCCTCCACACCCCCACTCCACATTCCTCCCACCGCCTCTCAACTCACGCCACACCACGCACTCAACGGCCACACCACCTACCCTCAACACCCACACACACCAGCCAGGCAAACGCCACACCATGCACACCCTCACACACTCGAAGGTTCGAGACGAACACCGACCGCTCTTTGTCCGGCGTCCTCCTCACCTGTTGTTGTTGTAGCCGTCCCTGCTCCCCTCTCGCTGCCCCTCCTCCCTGCTGCGGGTGAACAGTCGGGTCGCGGCGGCCCTCCTCTCTGGCAATACCCGTGCCCCGCTCTTGCAGTAACCATGGCAAGCCTTTCCCAAACTCCAGGGCCCCGACTCACCCAGGCACGCCGCTCCATGTTTTTGCCAGTCTTCTCGTTCCGTTAAAAGCCATCTCAAAATTGTAAACAACGCACAGAAACATATTTAAAAAAAGAACAACACAAAACACTCACTCAGTCTTTGTGCATGGTGAGAAATCCACACAATTCCTGCAGAATGCAGCGTCATGCACAAAGGCTGAGTATTTGTTTTGGTTTGCACACTTTTATGCGTGCGATTTGCAACTCATGCGTTTGTGGTCTGCGCTGTTTTTATTTCTTTTGCGCCGGGGGGTTCTCGTCAATTACATATTTCACAACTTAAGAGATGTTGCAAGTTGCACGCGCCTGATCGTCAACAACCACAATAGCCCCACGCGCCTGATCGTCAACAACCACAATAGCCCCACGCGCCTGTTAGAGGGCACTGATTACATGTCCCTGGTGCGTACGCGTGTCCCGTGCGACGCAGAGCGTGCCCATTGCAATCTCAGCACTCTCCCCCACGTCACGCGGGACGCTCAGTCATCATCGGGCGCGTGCAGCGTGTAACAACTTATTTTGCGCGTTTTGACGCGGGTACATTGGTCAATTCTACAGCGCGTACGACGGTAGGTTGGTCGATGTGACGTTTGGGAAATCTTGCACAAAAGTGATGGTGGGTACCACGGTGATGGAGGTCACGGTGGTAATGCTGGTTACCACGGTGATGGTGGTTACCACGGTGATGGTGGTTACCACGGTGATGGTGGTTACCACGGTGATGGTTACCACGGTGATGGTGGTCACTATGGTGATACTGGTCATGGTCGTCACGATGATGGAGTTCACAGTGGTGATGGAGGTCACGGTGGTGATGGATGTCACAATAATGATGATGATGATGATAAAACGATAGTGATGGTTCACCTTAGCGATGGCGGTTACCATGGTACTGGTGGTCACGACGGCGGTCATAATGTTGCTATAGGTCACCATGGTGATGGTCACGATGGTGATGGAGGTCACGATGCTTTGCTGCTGTATTCAAGAAGACGGGGGAAGAGTCCACTCAGGTATGGCCGTGGGGGTGCGGGACCTCCCTGAGTTATGAGTAGTGGGGGGGGGAAGGGTTGGGGGGAAGGCTTGGCGGCAGTGTGGGGGGGGGGGTGGAAATCACGAGAGCCACGCGATCAGTGATTAAGCTTTAATGCTTGTCAGGTGCGCGAACACAGACCATCACGGGACGTACAACAACGATTCTTAACGGGCTCAGTCAACGTCGCACGCTGACAACAACAACAGCAGCAGCAGCGAGACACAGTGAAGATAAACGCCACGCGCCGCTGATCAACAGCCAGTGTTGCCTCGCGGCTCCAATTAAAAACTAATTAAAGTGTCACTAAGTAACTACCAAACCCCGACGCGCTCGGCTCCACGATCCGCCACCGCTCCCACCCCCTCCGCGTTGCTTTAATTATTAAGACGCGTGCCTAAATGTATTACAAGCACATCGATAACATCGTTACCACGACACGAACACCACGCATCTCAGCGCCACCACTCCGACGCGTCATCAGCATAGAGCTCACCTCATCACCATCATAGAGCTCACCTCATCACCATCATAGAGTTCACTTCATCACCATCATAGAGTTCACATCATCACCATCATAGAGCTCACCTCATCACCATCATAGAGCTCACCTCATCAACATCATAGAGCTCATCACCATCATAGAGTTCACCTCATCACCATAGAACTCAGCTAATTATAGAGCTCACATCATCATCGTCATTGTACCTCACCATCGTACAGCTCACGTCACCCTGACAATACTTCACAAGCACAGGTACTGACCTCACCATAATGTTACTTCACCATCAGAGTACGTTGGCTTCACACTTGGCCATTACATAGCACTCACGGTTTCAATTTGGCGTTCTGTAAATAACAATCGTACTTCCCAATCGTAATGCTCTGGCTACTATTGTCAAGTATTATTATTATTAAAGCATCGAATGCAGGGGACATTTGTTCCTTATGGCGGTACCCTGGGGTACCAAATAATACAAACTGGCCGAGGCAATTAAATATTTTATTTCTGGGATACTATTTTTGTCCAGGGGTGTACTTCACTCCGCGACTGGGGTACCAATCAATCCGACATCAGTGCCACTTCGCGATGTCGAATCGCAGCGAGGACGATTGCGCCGAAACCCTGAACGCTCGCGGTATGCACCGTGGTGGTGCATCGTGTACAGCTCATCGAGATGAGTCGATTGCCGCATCGCCGACCATCAACAAACTAAAAATGACTGCATCACGGACATTGTGCGAGAGCCGTGGTACTATTGTACCCGGGGGTACCGCAATAAAGTTCAGTTGTATCACGTGGCCGTCGCTTGGACAAGCAGAGGGCGGCTGTGAGATGCAGGGGGCCTCACAGCGCCGTGCGTGAAGCGAGCAGCGAGCAGCATCCGTGGAGACCGTGGAGACATCTCCTCCTCCTTCTCCTCCTCCTCCACCCGTGGGCATTGCCACGAGAGGGACGCGTGGGCGCACATCAACTCCTCAAGGTGGAGCTCCTCAAGGTGGAGCATCTCAAGGTGGAGCATCTCCATGTGGAGCATCTCAAGGTGGAGCTCCTCAAGGTAGAGCTCCTCAAGGTGGAGCTCCTCAAGGTGGACCATCTCAAGGTGGAGCTCCTCAAGGTGACATCTCTCAAAGTGGAGCTCCTCAAGGTGGAGCTCCTTAAGGTGACGTCTCTCAAGGTGGAGCTCCTCAAGGTGGAGCATCTCAAGGTGAAGCATCTCAAGGTGAAGCTCCTCAAGGTGGAATATTTCAAGGTGGAGCATCTCAAGGTGGAGTTCCTCAAGGTGGATTCCCTCAAGGAGGTTCTTAGGGTGTTCACATGGCTCTGTCTTGACGAGGCAGCTCACGAGCTGGTGTGGTAAACGCGTGCTGCAGCCGTGGGCTCTGTCTGGAGGAATGCGACGAGCTGCGTAGTGGCCGGGCGAGCAGGCGGCCTTGCGTGGATGGCAGTCCGTGTCTCTCGGCGTCTGCTGATGGGATGATGATGAGCTTAACACGAGTTGCGTGCCCTCTCTCTCTCTCTTTACGTCACGTGCAGCTCGGTTCAACTCCATAATCTAACTCCTGGCGTCAGGTCGACAGACACAAGCATGGTTTCGTCAACACCGACACGAGTGGGCCCCCACCCCCGCACACAGTTCACCGAGCCCGGCGTGGCCACTCACGCACCCTTCCCCGTCGCCACAAACAAACACAAATCCAGGGCTTTCACGTGGGCGGCATTGCGCATTGCGCGCTCTGCGGGCTGGACGCTCGCTGCGGGCTGCTGCAAGTGAAGCGCGCACGTCCCACGACGTCCCACGACGTCCCCCGGAGGTCGCTCCCCTCCCTCACACGAACTCCTTCACGTGGTAGCTTTGCTTGCCGTTGCAGGGTGCGGGCGCGGCCTCGTACGGCGGGGCGCCGTATGGCGCCGCCGCCGCCGAGTGCATCCGCGGCAACGGGACCCCGGGAGCGTTGGGGCCGGTCCCGTGCATGGCCAACCCGCCCGGCTGAAGGCCGTAGAAGGGCCGGGGCCGGCCCGGCTCGGCTCGTGGCCACGAACAGCACAGCAGCCCCCCGCCGAGGAACAGCAGCGTCGCGGCCCCCCAGCCGACGTACAGGGCCGAGCCGAGCTCCCGCTTGAGGGTGACCGGCACGCCGACGTCGTAGAAGTCGCGCACGATGTTGTGCGCCGTCCACGACACGGGCGCCAGCAGCAGGAGGCCGCACAGCGCGAAGCCGACACCTCCCGTGGCCGTGAGGCGGCCCTTGGCCGAGCCGTCCTCGTCGCCGCACGTCGTGCACCTCATGCCCGTGGCCGCCACGCCGACCGCGAGGAGGGCGAGGAGGTTGGCGAGCACCGTCATGGCGCGCGCCGCCTGCAACTCGCCGTTGAGCGCCAGCATGGAGTCGTGCACCTTGCACTGCATCTGGCCCGTGCTCTGCACCACGCAGTTCATCCACAGGCCCTCCCAGGTGCTCTGCGCCACGATCAGCGTCTGGCCCAGGAAGGCGGTGACGCGCCACGTGGGGAGCGCGCAGGCGACCACGCCGAGGAGCCAGCCCAGCGCGCCCAGCGAGAAGCCGAGGATCTCCAGGCCCGTGGAGGACATCGTCCCCCCTGGGGGGGCCGGGCGGCCCACGGGGAGCCTGGCGGGAGCCGGGCGGGAGCTCCCCCACCCCCGTCACCCGCTTGGAGGCGGTGCAGAGGCGACCCTAGAGACTCCGCCGCGGGGCAGCTCCCGGCATGTCCGCGAACGCTGTCAACACAAAGTCACGAGCGCAGCGTGGGTGAGGGCATGGCCCCCGCCAGCAACAGGAGCCGTGCCCCACGAGCAACAGGAGCCGTGCCCCACCAGCAACAGGAGCCGTGCCCCACGGGCAACAGGAGCCGTGCCCCACCAGCAACAGGAGCCGTGCCCCACCAGCAACAGGAGCCGTGCCCCACGGGCAACAGGAGCCGTGCCCCACCAGCAACAGGAGCCGTGCCCCACCAGCAACAGGAGCCGTGCCCCACCAGCAACAGGAGCCGTGCCCCACCAGCAACAGGAGCCGTGCCCCATGGGCAACAGGAGCCGTGCCCCACGGGCAACAGGAGCCGTGCCCCACCAGCAACAGGAGCCGTGCCCCACCGGCAACAGGAGCCGTGCCCCACGGGCAACAGGAGCCGTGCCCCACGGGCAACAGGAGCCGTGCCCCACCAGCAACAGGAGCCGTGCCCCACAAGCAACAGGAGCCGTGCCCCACGGGCAACAGGAGCCGTGCCCCACGGGCAACAGGAGCCGTGCCCCACGGGCAACAGGAGCCGTGCCCCACAAGCAACAGGAGCCGTGCCCCACAGGCAACAGGAGCCGTGCCCCACCAGCAACAGGAGCCGTGCCCCACGAGCAACAGGAGCCGTGCCCCACGAGCAACAGGAGCCGTGCCCCACGGGCAACAGGAGCCGTGCCCCACAAGCAACAGGAGCCGTGCCCCACGGGCAACACGAGCCGTGTCTCACCAGCAACAGGAGCCGTGCCCCACGGGCAACAGGAGCCGTGCCCCACAGGCAACAGGAGCCGTGCCCTGCGGGCAACAGGAGCCGTGCCCCACGGGCAACAGGAGCCGTGCCTCACCAGCAACAGGAGCCGTGCCCCACGGGCAACAGGAGCCGTGCCCCACAGGCAACAGGAGCCGTGCCCTGCGGGCAACAGGAGCCGTGCCCCACGGGCAACAGGAGCCGTGCCTCACCAGCAACAGGAGCCGTGCCCTGCGGGAAACAGGAGCCGTGCCCCGCGGGCAACAGGAGCCGTGCCCCACGGGCAACACGAGCCGTGTCTCACCAGCAACAGGAGCCGTGCCCCACGGGCAACAGGAGCCGTGCCCCACAGGCAACAGGAGCCGTGCCCTGCGGGCAGTGGGAGCAGCGAGGGAGGGCGGCGCTGTTGCCATGGTCCCGGGAGTCGCGCTTTGTGCGCGACTTGCGGCGCGACGTCGCGAAACGAGGAACTCGGGAACCGCGGGGCCTGGGGACCGATCGGGGATCAATCGGGGATCGTGGGGGGGGGGGCCTGGGGGTTCGTACCTGCGGGCCCAGCGGGGTCTGCGGGGTCCAAATCCGGAGCTCGGGGTGACGCGCGCGGAGTGTTGGAGACCCTGAGACAATGGGACTCGGAGGAGACACAAAGACACGGGGAGGAGACGCGGGAACGCGGACACAGGGGGGAGAATCGTTGCCACGCGGGGTGGTCAACTGGGCTACCGGGAGACACGGGGGGACCGGGCAACGCGGAGACCTGGAGGCACACGGGGGACTCCACTCTGCGTGTCCCAGGGGGCCGGGGGGTTTATATCGCCGGGAGCGCGGGGGGCGGAACCTCGGGGCCGCATACGTAACACGCGGCACTCAGCAGCGTCACCGTTACTCGCTCACACAGACACACACTTACAGACACAGACACACAGACACTCACACACACACACACAGACACACACTTACACACACAGACACACAGACACTCACACACACACACAGACACACACAGACACACACACACACACAGACACACACAGACACGCACACACACACAGACACACACACAGACACACAGACACACAGACACACACACACACATAGAGACACACAGACACACACAGACACACACACTTACAGACACAGACACACAGACACTCACACACACACACACAGACACACACTTACACACACAGACACACAGACACTCACACACACACACAGACACACACAGACACACACACAGACACACACAGACACGCACACACACACAACAACAACAACAACAACAACCGCCATTCGCCACTAAGTGGCGGTGACGTCACCACGATGCTTGTGCCAGGCCAAGTGCACCTTGAGGCCACGTGAAGTGTCGAAAGCCCGCTGGCAGGAGGTCACGGGGCAGACCCAGCAGGTGCCACGGGTCGACTGACCGAGATGACCGAGATGACTGGCTGATGCACCACCTGTGCCCCCTACTGTGCCAACTTGCTGTGCTTTAGCCACCCGGCGCTCCGCTCGTTGTTGTGAGCGTCGCTCCTCCGCCCTCCGTTGTTGTTGGAGGGCGACTGCCTCCTACTGCCCAGTAGCGTCCTTCACGAGCCTCCTCCACAGAGGCCGATCTTGACACCGCTGGTACCGGTCATCGGCAAGTCCACTCAGCTCCACGTCCTCCTGTACCACATCACTCCATCTCTTCTCCAGCCCGTGTCGCGCCCGTCTAGCCCCCTCGATCCGGCCGAACAAAAGCTGTTTAGGCATGCGGTGGCTGGGCATGCGGGCTACATGACCCAGCCAACGCAGCCTTGCCTGCCGGAGGAGCTCACTGATGGGACTTTGCCCAGATCTTTCAAGGATTTGTGAGCTCCTCACACAATCCAGCCTGGTTAAACCCAGGATGGATCGTAGGCAGGCCAGCCTAAATGTTTCCAACCGGCGAAGATGTTCCGCACATAGACACACACATAGACACACACATAGACACACACATAGACAAAGAGTCCCCGTGTAGCCTTAACAGACTGGTGGGGCAAGTGTTGTTAGCGAGCACCTATGAAGGCCGGCACGGCACACGAGGGGGTGGGTGGCTCGCACCACGCCCGACCGCCTTTGTCTCCCCAGTACTAGCAATGTTTGTTACACACCGCTACACCAAGTACTCATTTGAGGCTGAGTCGACCTAGGGCCCAGGACCGGTTCAGATAATCGTCACTGGCGTGGGCCGTTAGCGAGAATCGAACTCGAGTCGCCAGGTTCGTAGCGCAGCGCGCTGACTGCAACACCACCGCTTCCCACACAGACACAAAGACAAAGTTCCCCCGTATAGTCTTCACAGACTGTAGGGGCAAGTGCTGTTAGCGAGTAGCACCTCGGAAAGCCTGCAAGGCACTCCAGGGGATGGGTGGCCAGCACCATGCTCAGCCGCCTCTGTCTCCCTCGTCGTAATGTTTACCCATCGTATCAAACACTCATTTGAGTTCAGGACTGATCAAAATAAATGGTCACTGGTGTTTCCCCTGTTCGGAAATTGAGGTCGGTTCACGGGAAAAGTCGCAGAGTTCATTCACCAGGGCAGAGGATAGGAAAGGTAAACACACTACTTGACAAAAATATACAAAGAAAAATAGAGTTTTTTTTATATCTTACCAGACAAAGCCCACTGAGCTATTTGCTTATTTTTCAGAAGTGACTTGGCCATAAATGGCCAGGACGTGTACCTCCAATAAGTTCAACATACATTAATAACACATTCCTGCGGAGGGAGCTGGTAGGAACGTTGGGTTGCTCGGCCAATGGCCAGGGTCAACGGCGGCGTGGTGTATTCCGCAAATATGGCCGACTGCGAGGGCGGGCACAAGCCGGCTGGAGTAGGTTAAACGTTGAGTTTTATAAGGGCACCACAGGGTGACCAGCCCCTCCCCACCCAGCCCCTCCCCACCCAGCCCCTCCCCACCCTCCCCACCCAGCCCCTCCCCACCCTCCCCTCCCCACCCAGCCCCTCCCCTCCCAGCCCCTCCCCACCCTCCCCTCCCCACCCAGCCCCTCCCCACCCAGCCCCTCCCTGCACGACGGACGGACACAATAATCCCCTGTGGGCTGGTGTAACCAGGAGGTTCCTACCAGTATAAATGATAGCTCAACGAAGTGGCTTATAGGGTGTTAATGTATAGCAGCACAACAACCTAAATAAACATCAGATACCGATCTAGACACTTACCAGAAGGCCGGTTATGGGAAATCTCGAAATGTAAAGCTTTTTAAACAGGGCCCTACATCAATATAAGGATGCCATGTATTTTCTCTGCTTAATATCAATACAATGCCAAGTTTTACGCTCGTAAAAGGTGTGGGGTGCGATCACGCCTCTCCACCCACCCCCCTTCCTTGGACCCGTCAGCGACCAACAAAACCCCAACAAACCCCTAACAAACCCTACCCGAATTAACAAACCCCACGCTCACACAAATACGTGGGCTGTGTGGCGGGAGGAGAGCAGATGCCCCGGGGGAGGTGGATTCTCATACATATCACGGTCATGGCTCGGGTCACGTCACTCACAAACTATCTACTAACAGTCGCGTCGCCCACAACGAATGTCAACGGACTGTCAAAGTCCCATACCGGGCTATGGACGTCTCCGCTCAGGTCCCTATGTTGGTTGGGATCTCTCTTCGCCTCCATTGTCAAGCAGGGGCCTTTGTTGTCGCGAGACGTCCTCATACACACACACATGCTAATGTCCCCCACGCAGTCCCTCGATCGCGGGCTCTCCCCACCCCCTTTCTCACGGGGTTCCCTCTCACGGGGTCCCGTGCACACCAGAACACGTGTGTGTGTGTATTAACAGAAGACCATCCTCCATGTGCATTGAATGGTCCGTGGGGTCCTCTGGTGTGTACGAATTTAGTCAGGACGCAACACAACCTCATCATCGGCGTCCCCCGGAGGTCGCTCCCCTCCCTCACACGAACTCCTTCACGTGGTAGCTTTGCTTGCCGTTGCAGGGTGCGGGCGCGGCCTCGTACGGCGGGGCGCCGTATGGCGCCGCCGCCGCCGAGTGCATCCGCGGCAACGGGACCCCGGGAGCGTTGGGGCCGGTCCCGTGCATGGCCAACCCGCCCGGCTGAAGGCCGTAGAAGGGCCGGGGCCGGCCCGGCTCGGCTCGTGGCCACGAACAGCACAGCAGCCCCCCGCCGAGGAACAGCAGCGTCGCGGCCCCCCAGCCGACGTACAGGGCCGAGCCGAGCTCCCGCTTGAGGGTGACCGGCACGCCGACGTCGTAGAAGTCGCGCACGATGTTGTGCGCCGTCCACGACACGGGCGCCAGCAGCAGGAGGCCGCACAGCGCGAAGCCGACACCTCCCGTGGCCGTGAGGCGGCCCTTGGCCGAGCCGTCCTCGTCGCCGCACGTCGTGCACCTCATGCCCGTGGCCGCCACGCCGACCGCGAGGAGGGCGAGGAGGTTGGCGAGCACCGTCATGGCGCGCGCCGCCTGCAACTCGCCGTTGAGCGCCAGCATGGAGTCGTGCACCTTGCACTGCATCTGGCCCGTGCTCTGCACCACGCAGTTCATCCACAGGCCCTCCCAGGTGCTCTGCGCCACGATCAGCGTCTGGCCCAGGAAGGCGGTGACGCGCCACGTGGGGAGCGCGCAGGCGACCACGCCGAGGAGCCAGCCCAGCGCGCCCAGCGAGAAGCCGAGGATCTCCAGGCCCGTGGAGGACATCGTCCCCCCTGGGGGGGCCGGGCGGCCCACGGGGAGCCTGGCGGGAGCCGGGCGGGAGCTCCCCCACCCCCGTCACCCGCTTGGAGGCGGTGCAGAGGCGACCCTAGAGACTCCGCCGCGGGGCAGCTCCCGGCATGTCCGCGAACGCTGTCAACACAAAGTCACGAGCGCAGCGTGGGTGAGGGCATGGCCCCCGCCAGCAACAGGAGCCGTGCCCCACGAGCAACAGGAGCCGTGCCCCACCAGCAACAGGAGCCGTGCCCCACGGGCAACAGGAGCCGTGCCCCACCAGCAACAGGAGCCGTGCCCCACCAGCAACAGGAGCCGTGCCCCACGGGCAACAGGAGCCGTGCCCCACCAGCAACAGGAGCCGTGCCCCACCAGCAACAGGAGCCGTGCCCCACCAGCAACAGGAGCCGTGCCCCACCAGCAACAGGAGCCGTGCCCCATGGGCAACAGGAGCCGTGCCCCACGGGCAACAGGAGCCGTGCCCCACCAGCAACAGGAGCCGTGCCCCACCGGCAACAGGAGCCGTGCCCCACGGGCAACAGGAGCCGTGCCCCACGGGCAACAGGAGCCGTGCCCCACCAGCAACAGGAGCCGTGCCCCACAAGCAACAGGAGCCGTGCCCCACGGGCAACAGGAGCCGTGCCCCACGGGCAACAGGAGCCGTGCCCCACGGGCAACAGGAGCCGTGCCCCACAAGCAACAGGAGCCGTGCCCCACAGGCAACAGGAGCCGTGCCCCACCAGCAACAGGAGCCGTGCCCCACGAGCAACAGGAGCCGTGCCCCACGAGCAACAGGAGCCGTGCCCCACGGGCAACAGGAGCCGTGCCCCACAAGCAACAGGAGCCGTGCCCCACGGGCAACACGAGCCGTGTCTCACCAGCAACAGGAGCCGTGCCCCACGGGCAACAGGAGCCGTGCCCCACAGGCAACAGGAGCCGTGCCCTGCGGGCAACAGGAGCCGTGCCCCACGGGCAACAGGAGCCGTGCCTCACCAGCAACAGGAGCCGTGCCCCACGGGCAACAGGAGCCGTGCCCCACAGGCAACAGGAGCCGTGCCCTGCGGGCAACAGGAGCCGTGCCCCACGGGCAACAGGAGCCGTGCCTCACCAGCAACAGGAGCCGTGCCCTGCGGGAAACAGGAGCCGTGCCCCGCGGGCAACAGGAGCCGTGCCCCACGGGCAACACGAGCCGTGTCTCACCAGCAACAGGAGCCGTGCCCCACGGGCAACAGGAGCCGTGCCCCACAGGCAACAGGAGCCGTGCCCTGCGGGCAGTGGGAGCAGCGAGGGAGGGCGGCGCTGTTGCCATGGTCCCGGGAGTCGCGCTTTGTGCGCGACTTGCGGCGCGACGTCGCGAAACGAGGAACTCGGGAACCGCGGGGCCTGGGGACCGATCGGGGATCAATCGGGGATCGTGGGGGGGGGGGCCTGGGGGTTCGTACCTGCGGGCCCAGCGGGGTCTGCGGGGTCCAAATCCGGAGCTCGGGGTGACGCGCGCGGAGTGTTGGAGACCCTGAGACAATGGGACTCGGAGGAGACACAAAGACACGGGGAGGAGACGCGGGAACGCGGACACAGGGGGGAGAATCGTTGCCACGCGGGGTGGTCAACTGGGCTACCGGGAGACACGGGGGGACCGGGCAACGCGGAGACCTGGAGGCACACGGGGGACTCCACTCTGCGTGTCCCAGGGGGCCGGGGGGTTTATATCGCCGGGAGCGCGGGGGGCGGAACCTCGGGGCCGCATACGTAACACGCGGCACTCAGCAGCGTCACCGTTACTCGCTCACACAGACACACACTTACAGACACAGACACACAGACACTCACACACACACACACAGACACACACTTACACACACAGACACACAGACACTCACACACACACACAGACACACACAGACACACACACACAGACACACACAGACACGCACACACACACAGACACACAGACACACACACACAGACACACACAGACACACACACACAGGCACACACACACAGACACACACAGACACACAGACACACACACAGACACACACTCACACACACTCACAGACACACACACAGACACACACACACAGACACACACACAGACACACAGACACACACACACAGACACACACAGACACACACATGGACACACACACAGACACACACAGACACACAGACACACACACAGACACACACACACAGGCACACACACACAGACACACACAGACACACAGACACACACACAGACACACACTCACACACACTCACAGACACTCACAGACACACACACAGACACACACACACAGACACACACACACACACACACAGACACACACAGACACACACATGGACACACACACAGACACACACAGACACACAGACACACACACAGACACACACACATAGACACACACACACAGACACACACACACAGACACACACACATGGACACACTCACATAGACACACACAGACACACACAGACACACACACATAGACACACACAGACACACAGAGACACACACACACATGGACACAGAGACACACACTCACAGACACACAGAGACACACACACATAGACACACACAGAGACACACACACACATGGACACACAGACACACACAGAGACACACACACACATGGACACACTCACATAGACACACACACTCACACAGACACACAGACACACACACACACATAGAGACACACAGACACACACAGACACACACACAGACACACACAGACACACACACACAGACACACACACACACATGAACACACTCACATAGACACACACAGACACATACACACAGACACACACAGACACACAGACACACACACATGGACACACTCACATAGACACACAACAACAACAACCGCCATTCGCCACTAAGTGGCGGTGACGTCACCACGACGCTTGTGCCAGGCCAAGTGCACCTTGAGGCCACGTGAAGTGTCGAACGCCCGCTGGCAGGAGGTCACGGGGCAGACCCAGCAGGTGCCACGGGTCGACTGACCGAGATGACCGAGATGACTGGCTGATGCACCACCTGTGCCCCCTACTGTGCCAACTTGCTGTGCTTTAGCCACCCGGCGCTCCGCTCGTTGTTGTGAGCGGTTGCTCCTCCGCCCTCCGTTGTTGTTGGAGGGCGACTGCCTCCAACTGCCCAGTAGCGTCCTTCACGAGCCTCCTCCACTGAGGCCGATCTTGATACCGCTGGTATCAGTCATCGGCAAGTCCATTCAGCTCCACGTCCTCCTGTACCACATCACTCCATCTCTTCTCCAGCCCGTGCCGAGTTTAGCCCCCTCGATCCGGCCGAACAAAAGCTGTTAAGGCATGCGGTGGCTGGGCATGCGGGCTACATGACCCAGCCAACGCAGCCTTGCCTGCCGGAGGAGCTCACCGATGGGACTTTGCCCAGATCTTTCAAGGATTTGTGAGCTCCTCACACAATCCAGCCTGGTTAAACCCATGATGGATCGTAGGCAGGCCAGCCTAAATGTTTCCAACCGGCGAAGATGCTCCGCACATAGACACACACACACATAGACACACACATAGACACACACATAGACATACACACACGCATAGACATACACACACATAGACAGAGTCCCCGTGTAGCCTTAACAGACTGGTGGAACAAGTGTTGTTAGCGAGCACCTATGAAGGCCGGCACGGCACACGAGGGGGTGGGTGGCTAGCACCACGCCCGGCCGCCTTTGTCTCCCCAGTGCTAGCGATGTTTATTACACACCGCTACACCAAGTACTCATTTGAGGCTGAGTCGGCCTCGGGGAGGCCCAGGACCGGTTCAGATAATCGTCACTGGCGTGGGCCGTGAGCGAGAATCGAACTCGAGTCGCCAGGTTCGTAGCGCAGCGCGCTGACTGCAACACCACCGCTTCCCACACAGACACAAAGACAAAGTTCCCCCGTATAGTCTTCACAGACTGTAGGGGCAAGTGCTGTTAGCGAGTAGCACCTCGGAAAGCCTGCAAGGCACTCCAGGGGATGGGTGGCCAGCACCATGCTCAGCCGCCTCTGTCTCCCTCGTCGTAATGTTTACCCATCGTATCAAACACTCATTTGAGTTCAGGACTGATAAAAATAAATGGTCACTGGTGTTTCCCCTGTTCGGAAATCGAGGTCGGTTCACGGGAAAAGTCGCAGAGTTCATTCACCAGGGCAGAGGATAGGAAAGGTAAACAAACTACTTGACAAAAATATACAAAGAAAAATAGAGTTTTTTTTTATATCTTACCAGATAAAGCCCACTGAGCTATTTGCTTATTTTTCAGAAATGACTTGGCCATAAATGGCCAGGACGTGTACCTCCAATAAGTTCAACATACATTAATAACACATTCCTGCGGAGGGAGCTGGTAGGAACGTTGGGTTGCTCGGCCAATGGCCAGGGTCAACGGCGGCGTGGTGTATTCCGCAAATATGGCCGACTGCGAGGGCGGGCACAAGCCGGCGTGAGTAGGTTAAACGTTGAGTTTTATAAGGGCACCACAGGGTGACCAGCCCCTCCCCACCCAGCCCCTCCCCACCCAGCCCCTCCCCACCCTCCCCACCCAGCCCCTCCCCACCCTCCCCTCCCCACCCAGCCCCTCCCCTCCCAGCCCCTCCCCACCCTCCCCTCCCCACCCAGCCCCTCCCCACCCAGCCCCTCCCTGCACGACGGACGGACACAATAATCCCCTGTGGGCTGGTGTAACCAGGAGGTTCCTACCAGTATAAATGATAGCTCAACGAAGTGGCTTATAGGGTGTAAATGTATAGCAGCACAACAACCTAAATAAACATCAGATACCGATCTAGACACTTACCAGAAGGCCGGTTATGGGAAATCTCGAAATGTAAAGCTTTTTAAACAGGGCCCTACATCAATATAAGGATGCCATGTATTTTCTCTGCTTAATATCAATACAATGCCAAGTTTTACGCTCGTAAAAGGTGTGGGGTGCGATCACGCCTCTCCACCCACCCCCCTTCCTTGGACCCGTCAGCGACCAACAAAACCCCAACAAACCCCTAACAAACCCTACCCGAATTAACAAACCCCACGCTCACACAAATACGTGGGCTGTGTGGCGGGAGGAGAGCAGATGCCCCGGGGGAGGTGGATTCTCATACATATCACGGTCATGGCTCGGGTCACGTCACTCACAAACTATCTACTAACAGTCGCGTCGCCCACAACGAATGTCAACGGACTGTCAAAGTCCCATACCGGGCTATGGACGTCTCCGCTCAGGTCCCTATGTTGGTTGGGATCTCTCTTCGCCTCCATTGTCAAGCAGGGGCCTTTGTTGTCGCGAGACGTCCTCATACACACACACATGCTAATGTCCCCCACGCAGTCCCTCGATCGCGGGCTCTCCCCACCCCCTTTCTCACGGGGTTCCCTCTCACGGGGTCCCGTGCACACCAGAACACGTGTGTGTGTGTATTTACAGAAGACCATCCTCCATGTGCATTGAATGGTCCGTGGGGTCCTCTGGTGTGTACGAATTTAGTCAGGACGCAACACAACCTCATCATCGGCGTCGTTGCGGAAAATAAAAGTGACACAAGTGTTGTCATCGCATCTACCCCCCCCCCTGTAATTAAGGAACGAAACAGGAGGATTTCTCCACAAATCTGGCTGTCGCCTGATAAAGCTATTTGTAATTATTGGCGAAACGTCGTACTCGGATTGTAGATGTTGTGGCTTTGCTCTCCAACACACCAGTTAGTGCTGTACTACTGACGAATTGGCACGTTCTGTTGACGTGACAAACCTTTACTAGTTGGAGAGCAAAGTTATGTTGTACTCAATTTGCACCGTACGTAGTCAACCGTACACACTCCCACATACATTACTAAACACGAACTCGATATCTCGTTTTCAGAAGCGCCCTGGCCACAAACGATAGCTTAACGAAGTGGCTTATCACGTGGAAATGTACAGCAGCCAAATGCTCTAAACGCGTGTTGATTCTACGCTACCACGGGGAGAACATACAAACTCCACGTAAACAGTCCTCGGGGTTCGGGATCGAACCCACGACCTCCTGTCTATCGCGGCGCCCTATAACCTACACAATCCCTTATGGGCCACTCCTAAACCGCATCCGCACAAACTATGGTAGCAGATTCGGACACTTGATGGACAAATGGGACATTAAAATCTCTCCTCCGGCAGCGTACGACTGTGGTCACCCAGAGCGGACCATGGAGCAGACGACTCATTCACAACACGAAGGAGGCATCGTCACAGCGATGCACTCCGCTACCCCAAAGGCAATCATCCGACTCAGCCACTGAGATGTACAATTGTTGTTGTTGTTGCTCCACAACAACAAACATTCCGACGAACAAGACGACTCCCTTGCATACACAAACCGTCCGTACACCCTATAACCCACACCCTCATACGCACAACCAATAACACCCCCGTATATTCACACACACACACACACCATACACCTCACGCACACGCATCTGGGAACCCCGGCTAACGGGGAGATATATGTAGCGGAAAGAGAAAGGAGAGCGAACGACACAAAAGGAGCTGTAAATTAAGCGCTCTCAATCGAGCCGCTGTGTGCGCCTGAAGCGAGGGACCCGCTTCCCCTGGAGCCTTGGTCCCCGGAACCTTGGTCCCTGGAATTCTGGAGCTTGGGACTCCTGGAGCCCCGGAAATCCTGGAGCCTGGGAATCCTGGAGCCTGGGAATCTAGAGGCCTTTGGATTCTGGAGCCCGGGAATCCTGAAGCCTGTGGATTCTGGAGCCTGTGGATTCTGGAGCCTGGGAATCCTGGAGCCTGGGAATCCTGGAGCCTGTGGATTCTGGAGCCTGGAATCCTGGAGCCTGTGGATCCTGGAGCCTGTGGATTCTGGAGCCTGGGAAACAT